TATCATACGGATATAGTGTAATCTTGTTTGTCTTGAATAATATATGCGAATTATTACACCTAATCTGCAATTCTAAACTCCAAGAGAACCCGATCTTTTATGAAAGACAACAAAGATGATTTTTTTCTCTCCTCTCGGATATTCCTCGTAACTAATGACTGTGAGAGCCAATTATGTCCTTCTTTAATCAAAAAATTTATTTTTTTATTGTATTTAAATTTTGCCTTTAGATTAAAAATCATGTTAAACGCGGGCCTAGTCCTGTTACAGTCGACCCCAATGTTACAAAATTCACAACACTACATATAAAGCGAGCACCAATCTGCTTACACGTAACCAGGTATATATCAATAATTCCTAACACACATAGTGCTTGCTTATTTGATGCAATGTTCGTATAACTTATATTTGTTTGTTTGTTCGTTTGTGTTTCAGAAGAAAGTGATGCAAGTTCTCGTTTCAGCACACGAGTATAACACACTGAGTTCCAGCATCATGTTAACTATCGTCATTTTATAGACATTCCCGCGAACTGTTTCTGCGCATCCTTACTGCGTAAGGAGCTCATATCTCAATGTCACATCACGTCCTACATTGAGCATGCGCTAAGGTAGGAATATAAATAAGGGATTCAGGGTTCGTACACATTTTTTATGCCCAACTGAAAGCTATTCTTATAATTTTTCCAAACCAACATTTTCTTTTTTTCCAGATTCAAAAACAAGCACATTTCCCAACAAGTAACCATGATAAACTGTAACCGCACAGTAACTGCGCTGCAAAGGAGAGAATTCTGAAGATTCTGTTATTGAACATTTTGGCTAAGGCCAAGTTAAGTAATTGCTGCAGCTTAGTAGAAATTTATAGACTCTTTTCCATTCTATTTCAAGAATTCCAGACTCTGTACGAACCCTGAAGGATGGTACCGTTAACTTCTGGCCGATGGGTCCTTTTTACGGATAAGCCAATTTGAGCCAGTTTACAGTTTACAATTTCTCAACGCAAAGAATAGCAACTGACCCATTCCTCAGTGATGCTGTACAATGCGTTGACTCGCTGCTAACTTAGAACAGATTATCTGTAGGCTCCCTCTTGAATACCACGCTATAACAGAAGGATCGTCCAAACTGTCGCCTCGATAAGTTAAAGGAAGAACAGGACGCGACAGTGTCCTCTGCTCAGCTTTACATTTCCATTTCCATTTACTGATTACAAGGGAATATCCTTGCCAAGCACTCGTTGCGCACACCTCTTTAACTGAAGCCACCACCCTGAGCCCCTGTATTTCCGGGCCCACCATTGGCACCTGCAGGAGCCATCATGGCGGCGAGGTCTGTTGGGTCTCTAGAGGCAGCAGCTCTAAGAGCTTGCTCAGGAACTTTAGATGGGTCGGACAAGATTGATGTGGCTTTACTTAGGTCACGTAACGATGATAAAGCCGCTGAAGAGAAAAACATTACGGCTCAGTGGCGTTTTTGCCTATTTCTCAATAAGTTGATTTAACTTGTGAAACTAGCTCTCACCCGGAGAAAAATTACACTTGTCGACGCCATTTTTAATTTCGCACGTGAGATGACTCGTCCCCAGTCGTCTTCATACAACGCGTGGCACGGCAAGGGGTGAGAAGGACGACGTTGGGGAGAAAGGGGTGATGGGAAACTCTCTCGCCTTCTCCGTAACCATCTCACTCTGCGCTCCCACCTCGCGCCGTGCCGCGCGCTGTATGAAGATGTATAAAGACGACTGGGGACGAGTCAGATTGAAATGGTCTGCCAGACTTTTTCAAACTCGAGAAAGAAAGTTCACATTCATAACTCATGATAGACTTAAGCAAGTCTTTAAGTTACACAACGTTGTTGTGTATTCATGCAGCAAGCAAGAGGATTGGTACTTACCAGGTCTGAGTGCCGGTAATGAACAGTGCTGCTCAAGCCAGGCTAGTACCGTTCTACAGAAGTCCTCTACACTGGCTGTCGATACCATGTTATTGTACTCCTCAAACAACTGACGCATCAACACGCTGAACTGAACAACAAGTCAAGCACAACAGCATTCAAAATCATCAGCTAAAATTAGCATATTCCTCTAAATACTGCGTCATCAGTTATATATAAAACAAATAACATTTCATAATGTAATTTTGTTATCTTTGGAAGCCCACAGAAACTGAATCGTATACATGGCATTTCTGTTCAAGCAAAGGGCAGAAGAACTGAGAGAAGACAACCATTCAAATACCTTAGGCGTAACACTTAACCAATCTAAATCAATGTCCTGGCCCGATCACGTGATTGCTAACAGCATGAAGGTTGACCAGAGGATAAGTTTGTGTCAAAAGGAACGAAGACGAAAATCACTGCACGAACACAACAAAAGGATACGATCCAGAACTTGAAGTTGTCTTGTGTCCGAGTCTTGACGTACTGATTAAACATGGTCCACATCTGGTCAACACGCTGTCACACAACAACATTAATACTTCATGTTAATGCTACTTACACTATGCTTGAAGGATCAAACAAAATTACCGAGAAATGAGCATGGATCAGTCATCAAATGATCATGAGTGCGCGGTCAAACGAGTTGATAGTAGTCAACAGATGACACAGATATAGCTTCATATTTAACAAGAGCCGGCAGACACAACACAGGAATAAAACCAGAGTTTGTGTTCACACAAGAGAAAACGTTCAAACTCTTGGTTCAGAAACCTTGACTCTCGTTCTCAATTTACCCAACTTAGATGTCCGTACTTTCAAGATGGCGGAGTTCAACATCTCTCAGCACTCATAATTCAGATTTTCTGGCACATCTTGTCGATACGTTGGGGTAGTACGGATCACCAAAACAGAACTTACACAAGGAAGTTCAAACTCTCGCCTTCCCTCTTTTCAAACCCTCCCATCTTCTATGAATATACAATTTCTACTGCGCCTTTGATTCGCCATTTTCTGTACAGCAGTAAAATTACCTGTCTAGCAACTGGTACACCTGTTGCTGGAAGCTGCTGTTGACACATACTGAAAAGGAAAACGTACAGACATAACTCACTTATTGTTGATGATCTAGTACTAAGCGTAAGACCCCTGTTTACTTTACATACGGTGAACTTAAACTTTTACAAAAGCACAGTTTCGTGTTATCCTGCAACAATGCAAATCAGCCGATAAGCAAGTAGTTCGTCTGTCAAAAGACCCTCTATTTTGTTTTGAGTTTGACGGGATCGCAAGCATAAGTACTAACCGCAGGGGATTTCGCGTTCCGCGCTCGCTCTCGCGCGCTAGCATCGCTCGCGCGCTTGAAGAAAAAAGTAACTCGAAGCAAAAAAAAAAAAAAAAACACTGAAAAACCGTCTCTGGGCAGACTATCAAAGAGTGTACGCTGGTCAACTCAGACACATCCCGCCAAAAAGACTGTCAAAGAAATTAGTGTATAAGTTCTCAGAAGATACAGTAAGATACTGACACTTCACAAAATAATGATCAGAGGTAGTTTCACATGTAAAACTGTGCGTTTGTCATTTTACGCCACAAAAAGTTAAGCCTTTATTACTCAATATCAAGCAAATTCCACAAGGTTTGTTTCTAAAAAGACTTAACGAAATCGAACTTGTTCAAAAGCATACAGTGACATACCTGATGGAAGCATTGAGCTCTTGAATCTGTTTTCTAAGCATTTCAGCTTCCTCCTGCATGGTATGTCTCTCCCGCTGTAGCTTAGTGGTATATTCAACGGCTGAAATAAACATATAATGAGTAACTCGGGACCTATATACACGGACAAGTGAAACAAAAAAACCCCAGAACCAAGTTACTACAGAACACGACAAAATATTCCTTTTGTCGCACAGGAAATTATCAAACAGTAAAAGAAAAGAATAAGGTTAGTGAAAAAGATGAGGAAGTTCTCATATTAAATAAATTACGTAACTGAAAGTGTGCGCTGGTAACTAGTGAATGAGAGGCAAATTACCCTGTTGTTTGCTAATTGAGCAAAATATTTCTCTGTCCAAGAGTAACTAAGCAAGTTCAACTGACAGACGTTGTGAAATTTTGCCCGAGCAAAATTTTCCTAACTTAAAGTATAAAATATATCGTCTTCATCGTTTTGCGCTTGCACTGTGAGAATGAAAGGAAAGCTGATTAAGGAATAACGGGAATTAAACTGCTTCATAATTTTGAAGTCAGTTATGACTTAAAGGCGTCAAGTGTGTGTGATGTCATACATTCTTTTCATATAAAACAGTTCCAAGAGTCTGGTTCAGTTTGTAACTTTCGTGATAATATTATTTACATTATAAAGAAAAATTATGGGAATTGATCGGTCTTGGGAATCAACATGTCCAACTTACTTTTCTGCAGGACTGTGGCTTTGCTGACTTTGGAGTTTCTTTGATTAGCAAGTGACGGAACAAGTGACATTAACTGATCAAAGCCCATCTAAAGAGGAGTGAACAAGTAACTAACATTACAAACTGCCTGCATAACACAATCAAGGGCTAAGTACCTTTCTTTGAAGAATATTTTTCTTATGGTAAGGTGAACTAACAATTTAGTTTTGAACATAAGACTTGACAATATGAAGGTGAAGGCACTGCTGAAGCCAACAGACTGCTGCATAGCTCAATGAAGGTTAATGAATGGATTATTCAGGGGCTTCCTAACTGCATGTATGGTATACTCACTTTGATGTTCCCACGTCTCTTTTGCTCTGCTGTGATGTGCGAGATTCTTCTGTGCTCCTAAAAATATAGTAAAGAAATCACTGAGTGACAAGAGCGAAAACGTTTGACTTTGAAAGGTACATTACTTGCAAAAACATTCGGACACTTTTATTTTTGGACAAAAAAAAGTGTCCGACAATAAAACCGTCCGAAACTTTTAAGCGTACGAAATATTAACAGCACAGCATAAAACGTAATGGTATCTCCAAAGCTCTTTACATACCTAACGGCTTGATAGCATTTGTGTTATTTTCTCGTCGGCGTATTCTTAAAACCTTGAGGTTGTGGTAAGACCATCGTTTTCATAGATGTTGTTTCGGTCTAATTTGCATTTTACAGGCGTAAATTTATTTCAGCTATGTTTCAGCAAGATGTCCAAAATGAGATAAAAAGTGTCTGAAAATTAAACGTCCGGAGTTTTTTTGCAAGTAATGTACACGCAAAACTAACACAGACCCACAAATACTAACTTCAAGTAAATTTATAAAACCCATCATGTGTTCAATGAGCCCTAAGAACTATCTTACAAACTGCATAAGCAGTAAAATGACACGACAAACCTTGTACTGTTCTCGCTGCTCTGCGGTTACTGGTCTGGTCTGTTTAGCTGGAGTCTAAAACATACAATTTATACTGTAGTAGCAGCCATATAATGTATGCCATGATCACTTGACAAAATTATAACATCAACATCATCTAGCATAACACTTTTTCACCGTCATCTTAATTTCACAAAGCAAAGCAAACTTGAGTAAACCTTAGGCTGCAATTCAGGTGGGGTTCACAAACTTTCAACTTCTTTCAAATTTCGTGCATTTGGATTATTTAGTTTTAAATATTTTTCTTTTCCTTCGTTACAGAACAAATAGAACTTTTGGTTTGAATGTCAGACATATCTCAGGAGTAGAGGAAGCAAGACAGTAGCCCAAAGGGAGACAAATGCTTTCTGAGCTTAAATAATAGGATGACAATGATTCCGTGTTTGAAGGCACATTTTTCATACTTACAGGTAGTGTTTGTGCTGGTCGCATTCCTCCAGTATCCTGCGATTCAGTAACCAAACCAGTAGTTGATGTTACAGCTGAATGAAAAATAACACCAGCTCACTTCCTGAGTCAAATCTAACATCAATTATGGCGGTTCAAACTTTGACTTTTGCGGATAAAACCCTAGCCTGCGAACACAGACGCATTTCTGGCTATCGCTTATTTCCGCCAAAAAACGGCAGGCAAAAGTGACAGCCGGAAATACGTCTACATCTCCAGGCTAATGAAACCCTGGTGTGTGACCATTCAAATGAAAGCTATTGGGAATTTCATTTCACATGGTGTACAGCGTGGTTCTAACTTTTTGCATCAGTGGATGAAACCCTGGTATGTGACCATTTAACTGAAAGCTATCGAGTAGCACTTTCATTAATTTTTTTTCCTGTACTCACCAACTGAACTTTTGGTGCCTACACTCATTGTGGCTACTGTTGACAAAGATGAGGAACTGTTTGCTACACTTGATGGCATGCTAACAGTAACCTGAAGACATAAATTGACAACAAAACAGAGCACTCTATATATTTGTTACATCATTTACTAACTTGCTATGGGATTATGCTTAATTTATAGAATTGTTTTGCACAAAAAAGCACTAATTTTGACCTTTCTGTTATGAACAAAGCGATCACGTTTCTTCATAAAATCGAGAATTAGAATTGTTTGCGTTTTCAACAATTGTAGATTGTTCTTATCAGTAATTGACTCAAGACAATTTCTGCAAATCTCTGACAACACATATGTGATATTAATCCTTAATATCACCCTGACCCATGTGATTACAGGCAAAAATCAGTCTCAGATTATCTTCTGTGCTTTCTTTGGAAATGCTTACCTTGCTGCAAAACTGTTACATTTAGTGTTCAGAATGTATGAAGGAAAAAGACAGTCACCCACAACAAACTAAACCCACTTGATTTGATTTCAACCCACTGATTACTTAATAATACCTTATACTTACCGACTGAAGTGCCACTGGTGAAAAACCAAGTTGAGCCAGTGACAATGTGCTAAGGTTTACATTTGCAGGCAAAATAATACGACCTTGGACAGGCGAAGGTCCAATATTCACCACCGGCTGCATGGGAGTGCTCCCCACTTCAGGCACATTATTCATTTGGTCTGTGTGTGTGTTCTGGACAGACATTCCAGTACTCTGGATACCACTCTGAGATGTAAGTATTACAGGTGCTGACGGCATAACATTTTGACCGACAGTTGGACCAGAAGGCTTGCTTTGGGGTTGGTGCTTAATGGTGACTGTGGGGGCTGGTATGTTGTGAGATGTGACAATTGGTGCTTGAAGTGATGACTGCGATGAGAAACTACTCGCTTGGGTAGTCTGTTTATTTGATGTTGATGGCTGAATAGCAATGTTAGGTGGTGCACGTAACAAGGACTGAAGAGCCTGAGTGATAGCATTTTGATTTTGGGGCTTCATTTGAAGTGATGGCCGAGCAGATGCAGATTTCTGTTGGATGGCCTGTATCTGGTCTTGTTTGTGTTGCGTTGCTTGGGTTGCTCCAGTGTTAGTCAAGGAATTTAATGCATTGACAAGCTCTGTTGGAACAGGTTGTTTCTGTAACACTTGTTTCAACTGGTAAAGTTGATTGAGCAAAGCAGGGTCTTGTGTACCACCTAAACTGCTTGAATCTCTTGCAGGCATTTGCACTGTAGCAGTAGATGGTGTGGACTGCTGAGTGAGAAGCTGGCCTATGACGGAGCTGTTTGCAGACTGGAAGGATTCAGCAGCTTGAGATGTAGTGGATACCCCACCTGAAGAGGACACAGGCACTGATAGCAACTGCTCCAAGAACTGTGTGTTTGATAAAGATGACAAACTGCTATTGGTGTTGTACAACTGTGTTTCTGTGGTACTGGTGAAGGTTGCTGTGTGAGATGGCATGGCAGCCACTCCAGCACTAACAAGGTGTTGTGGATCAGACATTTTCCGTCTACGCTGAGCGGTCAGTGTACTGGTAACTGCTGGTGGTGAGGCCACCTGTTGCCGTTGTTGTCCCATACTAATAAGAGATGTGTCAGACATGACCCGTGGAAATCTCCCTGGTTTTCGCCTTCCAGGTTGTTGAGTTGAACTTAATGTTGGCTGGTTACTGACATCTGCAGACTGCACAGTTGGCAAAGACGGGGGTGATGTGGGGCTTCTTGACATGCTAGCTAAACTGCTCAGTTTAGAGTCAGACATGTTTCTGGGCAGCCGTGCCCGTTTTGCTTGGGTAGCTGCTGATGGTGTTGATGTTACCCTTGTGCGGGGCTGTATGGACTGCAAATGTGCCACCAGATTCGGGGCTTCCAGTTGTGGAGGCAGATTACTTTCCATTGAAGGAAAGAGGTTTGTCTGAAATGATGTTCCAAGTTGTGACAAGTCCATTGTGTACAGCATAGAGTCTGACACATTTCTTGGGAGTCTTCCTTTTCTTGGCTGATTTGAAGTGTCAATCTGCCTTGATGAGTTAAAGGGATCAACGTTACCCACAAACTGGTTGGAAGGACTTAAAACATCAACATTACTAACACCAGATGACGCAAGTTGCTGAGCCTGAATTTCCTCAAGTGGACTCTGCAAGTATTGTTGTGGTGGTGGTGAATATGGTGGCAACTGAGGCTGTTCAACAGGGGATGACAGGACAGCGCCTTGTACTGGAGATGTTGCATGGTGCTGCTTGTTTGTTGGATTTAAACCTGGTGACTGCGCAGGCACAGTTTGTTCTAGTTGTGCAGTGAAGCTTTCTCCCTGTAAGACGTTACCATAATCAAAGGAATAACCAACAGCTGGATTTGCACTGGAGATTTCCATAAGAACTTGTCCTGTAGGCTGCATACCCTGCTGAGTTATCTGAGCATTGTTGTTTGTGCCTGCTGAAAACATTTGCTGGGCAACACAGTCATAGGCTCCTGAATGGTCCATGACTTCATCATGTCCTGAAACATTTGTTTCATATGGGACCCCTTGGTTCACAAACATAGTGGAATTGTTTGGTGCTGTGCCAACAGCTTGGCATTGGTAGTCACCTTGTTGGACAAAATGTTGCTGGTTCTCTGCATTTTGTGCTTCCTTTGCAACAAGCATGCCTAGAAGCCAACAGGATAACAAATTAAAATGGCATCACTTAAATGTTCCATGCAATCTGCAAAATACTTGAGGTCATGCAAGTGCTAGTCAGGCAAACATTTTGGTTTATTTGTACTATCTTTTTCTTTCCCTTGAATTCCTTAATTGTCGAGGATAATAAAATTTAAGTAAATTTTAATATTGCTCAACATGGATGGGACTGAAGAACCCACAGAAAAAACAAAGGCAATATGCACGACTCTTAGTTGATAAAGAACCAAAGCAAGCTGGTGAGTAAGTTCCCTACTCTGAAACTTGCAGTCAAATGATATCAAATGCCGTTTCAAACCTTACCGGTAAGTGATTCAAAATGCTCCATAAATTCATCTAAATTGGGCTGTAAACTATCAAGTGTGGGTACTTGAAATACATCTGGTGCATCTGAGTAATCAAAATGAATTTAAGAGGTCAATAACACATCATATAAAAGGCAAAGGTTTAGACCTAAGGGCAGACCCTCCCCATATGAAACTTTGATAAGTACTTGATTAGCTGTTTCATGATGTCTATAGCAAACAATTCCATCAGACATACATCATCTACCATGACAATCCATTTTTACTTACCTGTAGGTCGTTTTGATAAAGCCTGTTGTTCCAGGACTTCTCGTGGGATGTAAGCCCCTCCAAACATTGTTGATCGAGAGGTAAACAATGTGTCGGGCAAAGAAGACAATGCCACGTCTGAAGAAAACAAAAATAGGAAATACTTCCTTAAAACATATGATGTATTCTGTGGTTTACTTCTGCTGATCTGCTTAACGGTGACATTGAGCACCCAATAAGTAGCGTAACAAATAGTATGACTAATTCAGGATTTCTTTTGAACTATGAGACACTGAAACTTCCTGTAAATAACCATGTTTAGGACCAGAAAAATTGTCTATTTAGGAGCAGCATTCGTTTGTATTCAGCTGAGACCACGGCTAAAAATTGCTATAGGTGGTTTCCCCTTATAGGAGTGGTTTGTGTATGAGGTTTAACTCTACAGCAATAAATGACATAAACTACCATGATTGAAAGCTGTGTCCATAACATTAAACATCTGGTCAACTTGTGGATCACCACAAGAAGTAGGAGGGCTAATGGGTAGAACATCTTCACCACTCCCTGAGCTTATAGTTCTGGTGAATAAAAGACAGACAACAGGAGAATTGAGGCATACATTAGAAATGCTACAAGAGAAAGTAAATAGTTGCCATGGAGGTATTAAAAGAAATCAGACAATAGCCACACTGACCTTTTTCTCCTTCTTTCTTTTTCTTCCAGCTGAAAAGCAATCTCTTGATCAATCTGCTGAGCCTGCAACAAATACAGAGCAAGGAATACTACTTTGATCAACACTCTTACACTTTAATTCTTATCATATAATCCTTACGGAGAATTAGTCATTTAAGCTCAACTGAAAATGTTTTCAAACTTATCCCACAGACTTATTAAGTAAGTCCTAATATGTTGATTGTGTGTATCTGGATTTATGTAGTTGCAGTGAACAGACAACTTTCTTTACCATGGTTGCTTAATAGAGGTGGCCACTGGATAGAGGTTTTTATTACAGTGTATAGCTGACAATTTTTCAGGGACTTTGGCCTCTGGCCGCCAAATAAAGGTTTGCCGCTTAATAGATGTTCAACTGTACCTCAAATGTAACACAATTTAACACAGGCAAAAAGGAAAAAAGGGTTTAGCGTACCCTGAGGCTCAAATGCTGAAGTGGGCTGGCATTAGGAGTTTTTGACCACTGGCAAAAAGAAAAAAAAGTATGTATTAATAATAATATGTGACAATTGGATCAAAGTTCAAATATAAACAAAACAGCCAGAAAAAACTCAGGTACTCAGTAACAATAAAATAAACTGACTTTCTCTCATTCTTGATAGAAATAAGTTATAAATTCTCTGACAATAACATTTTAATGATGCAAGATAGCACAAAATTTTGTACAACATTATATTCTCCTGAGACAATTTCTATAAATTGTATGGTAGCAGTAATGAGAAGTTAAATGCAGATGTTGGGGAAAAAATGGTTACACAGTCATCCTATATTTTGTCTAGTCCCAAAGGATCACTTATTTAGACCTGGCAGTTGTTTGATTCCAGCATTTATTCAAGGCCCAGTGTTTCAAGAGTATTGCTGCACCATTTTGAAAACCTTTTTTCTTGTTGTTGAAACCTTACATTTCGTGAATTAACAGCAACATTTAACTAATGAAAACAACACAAAAGGAGAATATGATGGCACCAACTTTGCCGACAATGCTAACAAAAATTTATTCGAGGTTAAATAAAGTATATGTATGTATGTATGTATGTATGTAGTGGAGGGTTCATTGTCAGGGCTGTGCTCTAGAGGTATCCCTGTGCCACAAGCGACTAACTTTTACATTTGGATGACTAGAAAAACTTACTTTTTTCATATTCGCTTAAGTGCTGGGCACCCAGAATTTAATGGTTAGGAACCTTTAGACCCCTTGTAACTTTTCTTAGACCACAGCCTTGCATTATGGTACTTCGTTTAGGTGCCGTACAAATGGAGGTTCAAATGTTCACTGGACCTCTAATAAATGCTGGCTTGTTTGTTATTATATAAAGTAGACTTTGTGAATCCAACATTATTTTATTTGAACCTAGCATTTAATCAGATTGAGAAAATAACAATACAGTTGAATCCAACCACTTTGAACTCTCGGAGGAACCAAAAAACAGTCCAAAATAGCAGGAGTTCAAAATGGCCAGTAGTACATGACTACAGGGCAAATCCAAGGGAAATTAGTGGGGTCCTGCTGTATATGTGAATTTAAGAATTTGATATTTAAACAAACTTCTGACAGCTTGCAATATAAAATGCAAGAGTGCTCATGCAGTTAACGCAGAAAATTTGTTTACTGATCCTAGGGCTTATTTACAACACCAACCTTTTTGTAGTAAATTCTTAGCTTCTTGTACTCTCTTGCAACAGCTTCCAACTTTCTTCGCCAGTAACGTCCTTCAAGTATGACAGTCTTTGTGACAAACAAAACACATAAGTGTTACCACGATAACAGGCAAAACAAATATGCGAGGCTATGACTTATAGTGTTACAAGTACGTGCATATTACAAACAAAGAAAAATGTTAAATTAGGAAACATATTGTGTCACAGTAACATTGAACCCAGGAGCTGAGGTCACAGATAGAGATAAGAGATAACCTCTATTTAACATGGTCAAATGCGCTTAGCTAAATAGCTACTTTACAGACATGCCATGAAACCTCCACATAACCTCTTCAGGCATGCAGCAATATGAAACATGAAGCTAGAAGGAGTAGTAATGCAAGTTACATTTGGAATATCACCATTTTGTTCAGAAGCGTGTAAGTTCTTGGTGATATATCCTGACTGAATCAAAACCTATCTTTCCTAATAATTTCCTCCAAATTATAAAAAAA